TGAGATCATTTCCGATGGCTTCCTCCAATTAGGGTTTCTCTTATGAGCTTTTTGGGGTGTTAAAATTCATATCATGTTACAATTACAGGAGAACTCAAGATATTTTCTTGGCATAGCATTCAACTACTTTCCTTTTCCTTTCACATCAGTTTTACAGTGAATAATGAATGATGAGACAAGGAGACGGAGTTGAGCTGGTGGCCTTAGAAGCCTAATTGCAGAAGGCCCGTTCAGTTTTTCTGGCCAATGTGGTGAAGTATTGTTCTGGTTCCTTTAAGTTGATTTTGTAGATTGCACAGATCAAAAAACTATTGTATGTTCTAATTACCGCGTAAGTGCAGATTATTAATGTGAGGGATAAAGACTTATGATTATTTCAGAACATGGAAACAAAAATCATGCTTTGTCTTATGGTCTGAAGTATGATTCTATTGGGATATTATGATTAGAGGCTGATATAAATAGACGGGTTAATTTTACAAACGGTCACTGAACATACTTAAAAATTTCAGAACGGTAATTGAAATTACAAACTTGCAGAAATGGTTACTAAAGTTTTAGGGCGGTTTCACTAACGATCACTCTGTTAAGTTTAAGGCCTTAAGATTTTAATTCAAACTTAAAGGACCCAGACATGTGGACAAAGAACCTTAAGGACCTGACCTCTAAACTTTTTTTCATCTAAAAACCCGTCACACCCGAACGAGAAGAAGCCCAATTCACAAAATTGCTCAAGAAATCAATTCATTAAATTCTGAGTAGCCATGGGAATGTATGGATGGGATTTTGGAGGATCCTTTGACTGTAGCTGGAGGAGGGTATGACTTTAATCCATCATTTGTTGAATCTATTTCTAGCCTTTTCACAAATCTGATGGATTTAGCTCAAGGGAAAGTAATTGATGAAGATGGTGAAATCGTTGTGGGTTTGAAGCAAGCTGCAGCCGTAGCTGCCGAAAATCTCAGCGTTGGTTGTTTTCTCCGAAAAGGCCTGGATGCTTATGTCATGGATTGGATTGGATCATTTAATTCTATTTTGTTTAATTGTATTAGTATTAGTGGGCTAGCCCAAGCCATTTAGGTTATTTTGTTCTATATAGTTCATCTCTACATTTGCAAGAAAGTCGTCGAAGTCTGTAATGTATTTTCTGCTCAAACTGGGTTTTAATTGAAGCAATTCAATTCAGTCCTCTCCTTCTCGTTCTTATTTTACGTCGGAAAATGGAGCATTCATCGAACTCCCATAATATATAATAGGAGAGGAATTGATTCTGCAAGAACTATGAGAAATACGGTCAAACCATCTTCCCATTCTTCTGATGATCGTTTTTCATAGGAATTTTTGAATTAGATGAAGTTTTGGATGACACAATTAATGGAGTGGTTACAAATGAGTTATAGGAGTGAGTGATTATGGGTAAATGTATTTTACGATGTTATTCTTCATTTTAGATATATATTTAAGAATGTTATTTATATAAATATTATTTTTAAGCGACGAGTTAATTGTCCCAAAAATCACTGAACATATGTATGTGTCTTAGATTGTTCGCTGAAATTTAAAATATCGAATTTTGCCCACTAAATTTATTTAAACATGGATGTTACTCTCTAGCATAACATTCATTTCAAAACAGTAACCGAAATTGGTGACATGACTAATTAAATGCATGGATGGTGCCCCTTAACACCATTGCCAAATTGTCACGTAAGAAAGCATATTTCATTGCTCATTAAATTTTGAAAAACATCTTCAATCGATGGTTGAATTTTGGTCACTAAATTTATATAATGACGTTGGTATGTTGTTCATTTAAAAATGCGTAGCACAAGTGCATGTGCCGTGTATGAGTAATAAAGTGCACAAAAGATTTTAGATTGTCGATTCAACGAGGAATGATTACTCAGTTACATGATAATTAAATTTAGTTTTAACAATAAAAAACTCAATAAATTTGGATTTTGCAAATGATGAAAATAATTTAAAATTCTAAAAAAATAACAAAAATGATCACAAACATGAGTATTACAAATTTAGGGAGATTGATCTCATGGTTATGAAAAGTTGTCAACCCTTGAAGAATATCTCTTTAAAATATTCATGAGATTGTGGCAGAAAAGAAATATCCCATATAAGTTTTCCACTGGGATTAATTTATTTGCTTCATTGCAGTAATCACGAGAAAGGAGTCACAGGTAAATAATGGCCATTGAAATTTAACTTTTCAAGAAATATTAATTGTAAATTTAATCCTAGCACTAATTGTACCAAACATATAAAAATATTAAACAAAAATATTTTATTCCTTATTTGATCTAATATGATGCGCCAAATGTGCCCTTAAATCAATAATAAAAAATTAAACTCACATTTTTATAAAGAGATTTGTTTAAATAATTTCATTTTGCTATGCTTCCACTTATTTGTTAGAAATATTCAATCGTCTTTTGCATCATAAGTTTCTACAAAATTTTACTATTATTGTCAAACTACTATTGCAATACCTCATTTACGAATATATGAAAAACCTAGATCGAATTATTCAAAGCACCATTTTTAATCATCATTCACCATAGGAAACACATAAGTAGCTTCTTCACCATTTTTAATCATCATTCACCATAGGAAACACATAAGTAGCTTCTTCACCATTTTTAATCATCATTCACCATAGGAAACACATAAGTAGCTTCTTCACCATTTTTAATCATCATTCACCATTTTACCCTTCATGCTTTTTGTTAACATTTTCCTTTTTTTTTCCTTTCTAAAACGCGTATTGTAATACGACATCAGTTTGTTTTCTCTTTTCCCTTTCCACAACGCATCTTGTAATTTGACATCTTATCTGTTGTGTCTTTTTGTTGAGATAGTTGAAGTTAAATATTGATAAAGATTTAATCTACTTTTTTTCCTTTTGAGATTTTGAATCTTTTAATATGCGGAATATATACAAGTTTCATTCATCAGTGTGATGCAGTTTATTTTCTTTGGATTAATTGACTGATTTAATTACAAATGATAGTCCTCTTAGATCATTATTTGTTTGAATTCGCTTAAGTAACCAAACCTTTCATTTGCTTTCCTTCTTTCTTTTTTGGATTAGTGGAACACGCGTGTCAGATCATTGTGCATTTGAATTGGCTAAAGTAACAAAACCATAAGTTGCTTGCTTTCTTTCTTTTTTGGACTAGTGGAAGATAGTAATTTGCATGATTTGATGGCCAAATTGGGTATTCTATTGTCTACATTTAAAATGAATGAAAATAAGTGCTTAAATGTTGTTATATGAATAGAATGAAGTAAGTTTTGCTAGAAAATGGAATTACATAGTAAATGTAGAAATGGGTTATGAGTTAAAAGTAGTGATACATAAATAGCAAATTGAAACTCATAATGAAAGACTTGAAGTTAAATGAAAGATGGAGAAGCACTTCTTTTTGAAGTCCCCTTTAAACAAAAATAATCTATGTGACTTATAGGTAAGTTATTGTCACTTGGGGCAAACATTTTTGAAATTAAAATGGAAACTGTAAAATGAAAGAGAGAAAATGCAAAACCAAAAGAAATTCAAAAATCCCAACCTACTTCTGTTGCACTTGACTGCGTAAAATTAAAATAGCAAAAGGAAGAATGAAATATTAAAGGAGCACTTAGGTCATTTTGTTGTCTTTTTAATTGCTGAGTAATCAATCAACTGATGCGGTCAATACACGTGATTGTTATGGGACCCATGTACACTTAGTATTGCACCTCTAGAGATGCTTAACAGTATACTTGCATAGTTTTGTAGGAAGTCTGCATCCATTCAATAAACAAATTTTTTTTTTTTTTTTGCAATTTAATATAATTTTTTCTCAGCCTCTTATTCAATTAAGATAAGAAATTGGATGTTTCTATAAACATTATTAAACAGTAAATACTTCAATAGGAGATCCCGTTTGCTTTCATTTGCTTCAATTTTCTATCTTTCAAGTCTGTGATAGGAGAGAGCAGAGATGGGACCATGTGCACTTAGTTTTGGTGGGAAGTCTGCATCCATTCAATGAGCGGTGAAAAAATGGCTCAGAAATAGGAGAATAAACGGTCACACACAGGAGCTTAAAAGTAGTTTGGTGGGAAGTCTACATCCATTCAATAAACAATATTTTTGTAGCAATTTATTGTACTTTTTTATTCTCAAAGTCAACATTTCCGGCCTCTTATTCAATTAAGATATTGGAAATTGCTATCAACATTCTTAAACAGTGCATACTTGCATAGGAGAGAACAAAAATGGCTTATGCTCATCTTCTTTCTCTTACTCACGTTCTACAGCGCACGCTGAAATATGATTGTTCATATCTTCTTTCTGGTGAGAAACAACAAATCGATTCCCTCCTCGAAAAAGTTGTCTACTTGCAAGATTTTCTTGATAATTTTCCACGAGAAAACATCGAATCAATCGAAGGTTTGGAGAGAAAGATCAGCGATGTAGCATGTCAAACTGAAGATATCATTGAATCCAGCATTGCAAATCGAGTTCTTGAAGAATCTGCAAGTCGTAGTGGTGACATCTTTACAAATTCATTCCATGAAATAGCAAAACTAATAAAAGAAGTTGATTCCACAAATATAAAGGCAGGGAAGATTGAGGATGAGAGTGGCATACAGGAAGATTTAGAGCGCAACACCTCATTGCCTGTTGGTTCATTAAGACCAGCTTCTTTAGGTCAGAGCACTATGGTTGGTCTTGATGATGTCATGGCGAAGATCAAGGATCATCTAGTCAGTAGTTCATCAAAACTTGAAGTTGTGTCAATTGTCGGCATGGGTGGCATCGGTAAGACTACACTCGCTCACAAAGTTTACATTGATAAATATATTGAGTATCACTTTCACATTTGTGCTTGGTGCACTGTCTCTCAAAAATATAATGGGCGAGAAATCCTACTAGGCCTCTTAGATTCCATGGAAAAACAAATTGACGGGAATGGAAAGGACATTGATCAATTAGGAGAACTTCTGTACAAGAAGCTAAAGGGTAGGCGGTATCTTCTTGTAATAGATGATGTGTGGGATATTGAGGCCTGGGACTGTGTGAAAATATATTTTCCAGAAGACAAAACTGGAAGTCGAATCCTTTTGACTACTAGGCTTGAGAATGTGGCCAATTATATCAACTCTGGTTCTCGTCTTCATCCTGTGCGTTTTCTGAACGACGAAGAAAGTTGGAAGTTATTTTGTCAAAAGGTGTTTGGAGAAGGTTTTTGTCCTCTTGAATTGAAAGAAATCGGCAAGAAGATTGCCCAAAATTGTCGAGGACTTCCACTTGCAGTTGCTGTGATTGGAGGCCTCCTATCAAAGGCCACTAAAACACCACATTACTGGAGAACTATTGCAAAAAATGTAAGTTCGGAAATAACTTCAAATGATGAGCAATGCTCTAAGATACTTTCTCTAAGTTATAAACATTTGCCTTATCATTTGAAAGGGTGTTACCTATATGTGGGAATTTTTCCGGAAGATTGTCCAATCGATGTCAAGGAACTTACTAGATTGTGGGTTGCAGAGGGAATCCTCAAACCAGCATGCTCTAAAACTTTGGAAGACGTAGGAGAAGAGTACTTTTTTGATCTTGTTCAAAGAAGTCTTATTTTGGTTCAACAGAAAGGGTCCAGCGGAAAAATTAGAACATGTAGAATTCATGATCTGTTACGGGACCTTTGCGTCCGAGAAGCTCAAAAGGAGAAGTTTTTCCATGTCATTGAAGGAAGTCTTTATGGTATTCAAGGAGACACTAGTATGCGCCGTGTAAGTATTCATGATAAGAAGAATTCTCCATCATATTTTAAATTTTACCATGCGGGGACTATCAAGGGTGATGACAAAACACTATCTTCTTCTGATTCTAGGCTACTTAGAGTACTGCATAACAAGAAATATGATCATTTACCAGGTGGAATGGAAGAATTGGTTAACATGCGGTACTTCAATTACTGCCGTATAAACCCGAATACACCAATATATAAATTTCGGAAACTACAAACAACGGTTATTTGGGACCATGGGGCGGACACTATACTACCACCAGAAATATGGAAGATGACACAATTAAGACATGTCAAGTTGAATGGTTATATACATCTTCCTGATCCTCCTAGTTCAGAAATAAAGGGTGAAGAAAATTCTATTGTTGTTCTAGAAAATCTACAAACACTCTCGACAATATATGATTTTAGGTTGACCGAGCAGGTCCTCAAAAGAGTTCCAAATCTACGGAAATTGTCTATCTATTATTCCTATAATAATTTTTTGGAAGAACTCTATATCAATAATTTTGTCCATTTAGCTAAACTTGAATCATTAAAATGTTATATTAAATTTACACAGCCGCTGTTCGTACTCAGAATGACTTTTCCGACATCACTCAAAAAGTTGACTTTATATGGCGTTGACCTTTCTTGTAATGAATTGAGAATTCTCGGTAAGGTGCCCAATCTTGAAGTGCTGAAATTGAGAAACAGTACCTTCAATTGTTCAGTGTGGGAACCAAATGAAGGAGAATTTCTTAAATTGAAATTTCTGCTACTATGCGTCGTTGATCTGAAGCACTGGAGAGATGACAGTATCCACTTCCCGAGTCTCGAGCACCTAGTCATTGATGATTGCGATAAGCTGAAAGAGATCCCTAGTGGTTTTGGAGAACTTTCAACTCTTCAAACCATCGTGTTGATTCCCGATAAGCTTTTTGGGAAAACTTCAGCCGTTGGTCATTCAATTATTGAATCAGCAAAGAAAATAGAAGAGGAACAATTGAGTTGGGGAAACGATACCTTCAAGTTATATATTAAGGAATAATAAATATGCAGAGATTCAAAGTTGTCCATTCCAATCATTTACAGGTACCATTTTCTGTGAAACTTTTCCATTTCTTCTTTTGGCCTTCTTGTGTTTATCTACATTCTTACTTCCTCTCCTCTGAATTTTAACAGTCTGCAGTTCGAGATGTGGGAGCTCAGTTTAAACCAACTTCGATGCAGGTGATGTGCATTAAGAGTGCAATTAACTTTCTCTAAAGTTTGTACAGTACAACCATGATTTCATTTAGTGTCCTTGTTTGTCTATGTTGTTTCTTCTGCTTTCCTCTCTAATTATTTGTGGTTTTCACATGATTTTATCAATGTTAGTTGACAAAATCACGATTCATGTATCATTGTTCTTGCCATTCTAGAGATTTACAGTTAGTGTGTCTTCTACTATTGTTGATAAATAATTAGGAATTGACAAAATCATGATTCGTCAGTCTTATCCATTACTTGTTAGGATTGACTACATATATCCTGTTTGTCGAGTCTGCTCTATTTAAAGCATGTATATCATATGATTTTAATTGGTCTCACTTGTTGTTTAGTGTAACTGTAGCTTGAGTATAAAATTGGATATATTTTAGTCAATAGTAGACTTTATCCCGATTATATACGTGATCATTTTGCTGATACACATTGTAAAAGATTGGTCCACGAATTCAAATGGGGGCTAAAACAATAATGAATTGACATGTTCCTGGTGCGGCATGTTGGAGATGCCATGTGGCATATTATTTTTTCTAAAGTCGGACAAGTTGGCATAACAAATAAGTTAACAAGGCAACAACTACCCAATAAATGTCTTCGTGTGTAAATTGATGTGTTGAAATCGAGTGACAAACAAACAATCACATTAAAAGATGATGCAATACGAAAAGCCATATTTATAAAGCAAAATGTAACCACTTCAAATCCTAAGTTTTAATTTAGACTTGCTGCTGCTGCTACTGCTTTTACACACAATGAAATAAAAAACTTTGATTAAAAAATGATGCAGTAAAATAATTTTTGGAGATTCTTCTTTTCAAGTATTAAAAATTCAGTTTTTATTAAAAAGTTAGCATAACATAAATAAAGAATCATAAGTTTACAAGTTAATGTGTGTGTGTATATATATATATATATATATATATACGGTAACGATCTCCTAAGCACCGTGCTTAGGTGGCACAATACATGGGTGGGTAGTTATTGTGACACCTAAGCATGGTGCTTAGCATAAACTAAGCACGATGCTTAGTAGATCAAATCCGTGTATATATATA